CTAAGGCAGGAGAATCCCCTGAACCTGGGAGGCAGAGGTTGTAGTGAGCTGAGATCGTGCCACTGCACTCCAGCCTGAGTGACAGAGCAAGACTCCATCTCCAAACAAAAAAGAAAAAAAAATAAGACTTGAAGAAGAGGGTAAACCTGTGTACTTTTTTTTTTTTTTTTTTTTGGCTTTGTTGTCATTGCTGTTGTTTGAGACAGGGTCTCACTCTGCCACACAGGCTGGAGTGCCGTGGCACGATCTCGACTCACTACAGCTTTGACCTCCAGGGCTCAAGCAATCCTCCCTCCTTATCCACCCTAATAGCTGGGACTACAAGCACGTGTCACCAGACCTGGCTAATTTTTTAACTTTTTGTAGAGATGGGGTCTTGCTAGGTTGCCTGGACTGATCTCAAACTCCTGGGCTCAAGTGGTCCTCCCAGCTTGGTCTCCAAAAGGACTGAGATTACAGCATGAGCCACCATGCCCAGCCAACCTGTGTATTTTTAATGCTAGATTTGATAAAGAAATAGATCATCATGAATAGACAAAGGGGGTATGATCTAATGGTCATATGCTGGAGGAAAATTCAGCAAGGCCTCTTTTTTGGTTGTGGTTGTTCTTTTTGTTTTTGAGATGGAGTCATCTTGCTCTGTCACCCAGGCTGGAGTGCAGTGGCATGCTCTCAGCTCACTGCAACCTCTGTCTCCCAGGTTCCAGCGATTTCCCTGCTTCAGCCTCCAGAGTAGCTGGGATTACAGGCACGTGCCATGACACCCAGCTAATTTTTTCTTTTTTTTTTTTTTTTTTTTAGTAGAGACAAGGTTTCACCTTGTTTGCTAGGCTGGTCTTGAACTCCTGATCTCAATTGATCCATTTACCTTGGCCTCCCAAAGTGCTGGGATTACAGGCAGGAGACACCGAGCCCAGTCACAAGGCCTCTTTGTTCAGCATCTTCTCTGTGTCCCTGTCTTCAGAAATAAGGATGTTTCACTGGGCATCGTGGCTCCTGCCTATAATCCCAGCACTTTGGGAGGCTGAGGCAGGCAGATCACAAAGGTCAGGAGATGGAGACCATCCTGGCTAACACAGTGAAACTGTATCTCTACTAAAAATACAAAAAATTAGCTGGATGTGGTGGCACACGCCTGTCGTCCCAGCTACTCAGGAGGCTAAGGCAGGAGAATTGCTTGAACCCAGGAGGCAGATGTTTCATGAGCTGAGATCAGGCCACTGCACTCCAGCCTGGGCAACAGAGCCAGACTATTCCAAAAAGTAAAACAAAATAAAAATAAATAAAAACATTGATGGGGCCAGGCCTGGCGGCCCACACCTATAACCCTAGCACATTGGGAGGCCAAGGCGGGTGGATCACCTGAAGTCGGAAGTTCAAGGCCAGCCTGGCTAAAATGGAGAAACCCATCTCTACAAAAAATACAACAATTAGAGGGCTGAGGTGGGAGGATTGCTTAAGTCTGGGAGTTCAAGGCTACAGTAAGCCAAGAGAACGCCAATGCATTCCAGCCTGGGTGACAGAGCAAGACCCTGTCTCGATTAATAATTAAATAAATAGGCTGGATGCGGTGGCTCAAGCCTGTAATCCCAGCACTTTAGGAGGCCGAGCTGGGTGGATCACAAGGTCAGGAGATCCAGACCATCCTGGATAACATGGTGAAACACCGTCTCTACTAAAATACAAAAAATTAGCCAGGCAAGGTGGCAGGCACCTGTAGTCTCAGCTACTTGGGAGGCTGAGGCAGAATTGCTTGAACCCGGGAGGCAGAGGTCGCACTGAGCCGAGATCGCACCACTGCACTCCAGCCTGGTGACAGAGCAAGACTCCATCTCAAAAATAAACTAAAAAATAATTGTACTGATGGAAAATAAGGTTGTTTTCATTTTTTGGTATCATACAAATAAAGCTGCATGAATATCTTTGTACATGTAGATTTATTCCATTCTCAAACAACTCTTTATTTATTCAGAACCTACTATGTGCTGGTCACAGTCCTAGGCACAAAACACAGCGGTACAATAAACATGATTTTTACCCTGATAGGGTTCCCATGCTAGTGGGAGGAGACAGAAGAGTTAAATAGGTGAAAAATAGATGGTGATTAGTGTTGTGAAGAAAAATGGAAAATTTTGAGGACATTTATTTTTTAAAAAATTTTAGGCGAGATTTAAAATATTTTCTTGCCCAGGCTGGTCTCAAACTCCTGGGTTCAAGCAATTCTCCTGCCTCAGAGTCCTGAGTAACTGGAACTAGAGGCACATGCCATCACAGAGGGGGGTTAACGTAAAATAGGATCGCTAAGAGACGGCCTCACTGAGAAAGTGACATTTGCGTGAAAACCTGGAGTATGGAAACGAATCACATGGTCAGCTGAGGGAAGAGGATTCCAGATAGGGGGAAGAAGGTGTGCAAAAGTCCTAAGGCAAGATGTCATCCGAAATTTCCAGAGACCTCATCCTGGAAAGGCAAGGAGGCGAGTATGGCTGAACCAAGCGAGAAAGGAAGAAGGTGGTGGGAGCTGAGGTCAGAGGCGGAAGACCTCACAGGACATTGAAAGGATTTTGGCTTTAAGCTCTAATATAAGGTGTGGGTAGCCTTGGGAGGGTTTTAAGGAGAGTAGTAACAGGATTTGATTTGTGATTTAATAGGATCACGCTGGTTATTGTCCTGAGGATAACCCAAAGAAAGGTAAGGGAGTAGGCTGGTGCGGTGGCTCATGCCTGTAATCCCAACACTTCAGGAGGCCGAGGAGGGCAGATCACGAGGTCAGGAGATGCAGATATCCTGGGCTAACACGGTGAAATCCCCTCTCTACTAAAAATGCAAAAAATTAGCAGGGCATGGTGGCGCACACCTGTAGTCCCAGCTACTCAGCCTTTGGAGGTTGAGGCAGCAATCACTTCAACCCAGGAGTTCAAGTGCGATTCCAGCCTGGGTGACAGAGCAAGACCCTGTCTAGATTAATAAATAAATAAATAGGCTGGGTGCAGTGAGCGGAGATCGTACCACTGCACTCCAGCCTGGGTGACAGAACAAGACTGTCTCTCAAAAAAATAAATACATAAAAAGGTAAGGGGCCAGGAGTAGTAGCTCATACCCGTAATCCCAGAATTTTGGAAGGCGGAGGCAGGTAGATCACCCTAGGTCAAGAATCAAGAGTTCAAGACCAGCCTGACCAACATGGTAAAACCCTGCCTCTACCAAAAATACAAAAATTAGCCGGGCGTGGTGGTGGGTGCCTGTAATCACAGGTAAGACAGAAAGGGAGAAACTGAGGATATCTCTAAGATATCTGACCCCAGTAACAGGAAGGGTGGAAGAGCCATTAACTGAAATAAGGAACACTGTGGGAGGAGTGCATTTGGGTGTGGGGATGAGACCAGGAGCCGGGTTTTGGTCCTATCAGCTTTTAGATTTCTGTGAGATATCCAAGTGAAGATATTAAGTAGGCACTTGGAGTCTTTAATGCAAGAGAACGATCTCAGCTAACAGCACAAATTTGAGGATTGTCCACATATAGATACTATTTGAGCCACAAAACTGTTGGTGATGAACGGGGGAGCTAGGATAGATGAAAAGGAAAAGATTAGAGTTCTAAGCCTGGGGCACTCACTCTTTAGCCTTCTAAGGATATAATGAAAAAACAGGCCAGGTGAGGTGGCTCACGCTGGTAATCCCAGCACTTTGGGAGGCTGAGGCAGGCGGATCACGAGGTCAAGAGATTGAGCCCATCCTGGCTAACAGGGTGAAACCCCATCTCTACTAAAATACCAAAAATTAGCTGGCCATGGTGGTGCACGCCTGCTACGCGGGAGGCTGAGGTAGGGGGATCACTTGATCCAGGGAGGTGGAGGTTGCAGTGAGCCAAGATCATGCCATTGCACTCCAGCCTGGGGTCCAGAGTGAGACTCATTCTCAAAAAGAAAAAAAAAAAAAAAGAAATGAAAGAAAAAAGGAAAACAGGGAGAAGATTAAGTGACAAGTGAGGTAGGTGGAACCAGTGTGGTATCCTAGAACTCAAGTGAAATCAGTTGAATGAGAACAGACATTTGGATTTACATTGTGGAGGTTGTCTGTGACTTTGACTAGAAGTTTTGTTAGAATGTTGCAGGGTGAGATATTGTTTGGTGTATGAGTTAGAGTTCTCCAGAGACAGATCCAATGAGAGAGGGAGGGAGGGATGGACGGATGGATGGATGGATGGGTGAACGGACGAGAGGGAATTTATTACGGGAATTGGCTCATGCATAAATCGCTTTATTCTTGAAAATGGGGTGAGCTCAGTGGCTGACACCTGTAATCCCAGCACTTTAGGAGGCTGAGGCTGGAGGATCGCTTCTCTTGAGTTTCGGCCTGGACAACATAAGCAAAACCCCATCTCTACAAACAAAACAAAACAAAAATTAGCAGGGCGTGGTGGCACACCCCTGTAGTCCCAGCTACTCGGGAGGCTGAGACGGGAGGTTAGCTTGAGCCTGGGTGGTGGAGGCTGCAGTGAGCCGAGACCATGCCATTGCACTCCAGGCAACAGAGGGAGACGCCGTCTTAAAAAACGAAAAAAAAGTTCAAAAGGGTTAGTGACCCCAGAGAAAGGATCACTTCATTACCAATTAAGATGATCAGCTGGTCGTGACTCACACCTGTAGTCCCAGCTACTCGGGAGGCTGAGGCACGACAACAGCTTGAACACGAGAGGTGGAAGTTGCAGTGAGCTGAGACTACGCCACGGCACTCCAGCCTGGACAACAGAGTAAGACTCCGTCTCAAAAGTTAAAAAAAAAAAAAAAAAAAGAAAAAGAAAAGAAAAAGAAATTAAGATGAACTCTCTTCGGTCAGGTGGAATCAGGACGCGCTGGACGCGCTGGCTTCCTCGTTGGAGTCTCCTGCGGCTGTGCCTGTAGCCCACTTCCCGTGCAGTCCTCCGAGGCGCGGCCTCCAGCAGGGGTCGCTGCTTCGCCGCCGCCCTGGCCTCGCGTCCCGCCCTACCCGCTCTCACCGCGGCAGCGCCGGCGGAAGGGGCGGGGCGCAGGTAGGGGTGGCCTAGAGGCCTGCAGTCCGCGCGGCCGCGGGGAGGGACGGGAGGCCCTGACGTACAGGTGAGTGCGCCCCTGCTGGCGCGCGGCGCCGAGCCCACGGCCCGCGCCCCCTGTTACTTCTCGCTGCGCCCCTCTGCCCCGCCCACGTTCCCGCCACGTCTCCCCGTGAGTGTCCAGTGTCCTGCCAGCCTCCGGACGCCCCGCGAGCCCAGGGCTGCGCAGGGGCTGTGGCCGTTGAGTGCGACGAAGCCGTCCGCCCTGCGCGGTCGCTCCTGCTGGCTCCGAATGCAGACTGAGAACCCGGGGACGCAGTTGTCCATTTCCTTTGACCTTGGGGACCCAGGAAGGTGCTCTGCCCGGGGGGGCGGGGAGGGAGCGAGAGGAACCCGCCCCAGTCTCAGCCCGCAGCCTCCGAGGTCTCCGAGGGAAGGGAGGGATCTGTAGCTGCGTTTAGACCAATTTCTCCGTCTTACGGAGCGGAAGGAATGTGGAGCGTTTCCTGGAGTCAAATAGGTCAAAGTCTGCGCTGCTTTTCTTACAGTCTTCGGTTAGTTCAGATTGTATACCTCTCCTGAGGATCTCGCCCAAAACCTCCTGTGAGCCTCTGCCGTGATCACCCCTTCACTCACCACGCACGAACGCCAAAGAGATCTTTTAAAATGAACTGTCAGCTGTTCTATCTAACACCCATCATTGCTTGGTCTTTTCCCGGTTATTCGAATGCACCCGTCCCCTTGATGTATTTTTATTCCACAGGGTGTTGTTGTTACGTTGTTTTTTAAGACTGTCTCACTCCGTCGCCAAGGCTAGAGTGCAATGGTGTGAACTCCGCTCCCTGCAGCCTCCCCCTCCCAGGTTCAAGCGATTCTCCTGCCTCAGCCTCCCGAGTAGCTGTGACTACAGGTGCATGCGATCACGCCCGGCCAATTTCTTCCCACCCGCCCCCGAGATGGAGTTTGCTCTTGTTACCCAAGCTAAAGTGCAATGGAACGATTTTGGCTCGCCGCAGCCTCCGCCCCCCCAGGTTCAAGTAATTCTCCTGCCTCAGCTTCCCGAGTAACTGGGATTATAGGCATTCGCCACCACGCCCGGCTCATTTTGTATTTAGTAGAGACGGGGTTTCTCCATGTTGGTCAGGCTGGTGTCGAACTCCAGACTCAGGTGATTCACCCGTCCCAAAGGGCTGGGATGACAGGCGTGAGCCACCGCGCCCAGCCAAGCCCCTGCCTATTTTTATTTTAGATCTCACTATGTTGCCCAGGCTGATCGCAAACTCTTGCGCACAAGCAATGCAATTCTGCCTTGGCCTCCCAAAGTGCTGGGATTGTAGGCATGAGCCACCTGCCTGGCTTCATCCTGCCCTCTCAATCCCCCTTACCCTGCTCCACTTTCTTTCCCCAGAGCATTAACCACCAGCTATCATATAATTTACAGGGTTTTTTTGTTTGTTTGGCTACCTGTTTCCCCTACTAGAATATAAACTCTACAAGAATAGAATCTTCATCTATATTTTTTTCCTCTGAATTCCTAGTGCCCAGATTTGTGCTTGGCACATAGTAAGTGCTTCATTAAAGGGAGGAAGCCAGTGTTGCTGAAGCTGAATGAGCAAAGGTCAGAGTGGTAAATAAGGCTGGAGAGGAAAAGGGGGTTGAGGGAGCATCAGATCCTGTAGAGCAGGGGTCCCCAAACTTTTTACACAGGGGGCCAGTTCACTGTCCCTCATACTGTTGGAGGGCCGCCACATACTGTGCTCCTCTCACTGACCACCAATGAAAGAGGTGTCCGTTCCTGAAGTGCAGCACAGGGGCCGGATAAATGGCCTCGGGGGAGCGGGCCGTAGTTTGGGGACGCCTGCTGTAGAGCCTTTAGACTGTGGTAGAGTCTTTGCTTTTTTCTGAGTGCTTTTGTAGCGATTTGAGGAAAGGAGTGACTTGGTATGAATGACTTTATTATGTACCCACGTGGAGGTGTCAAATAGGCAATTAGATATTGTGTTGCAGGTCCCCAGGTTCATTGACTCACTAAGGATTCGAAAGACTCAAAGGATGCAGCGGGTAGTCATACTCACAGCTGTGATTTATTATCACAAAAGGATACAAAGCAAAATAAGCAAGGGGAAAAGATGCATGGGACAAAGTCTGGAGGAAACCAGGTGCCGTCTTCTAAGAGTCCTCTCCTAGTGGAGTCACATGGGGTATGCTTAATTCTTGCAGCATCAAATTATGACAACATGTGAGATGTCTATCAGGAAAGCTCATACAGCTGATTTTTCCAATAAAAAGTCACAGAGGCACTGTGCTTAGAATGCGCCAAAATTTCAGCCTCCCAGAAAACACAGGTGTTCAGAATCAAACACATTGTTTGTACAGTTTGAGCACAGTGAGCCACTCTTATTCATCTGGGAGTTGTGGGAACCCTCATGAAGTTCAAGTTCCCAAACACTAGCCAAGGGCCAACTTTGCAAGCAGATATTTCTAAGGATAGCAATCTCAGACCTGTTAACTCTTTTCTGCACAGATATGTGAGTCCGGAATTTGGGAGAAAGTTCTGGAATGAGGGTATATATTGGGATGTAGTTGGCCTATAGATGGTATTTAAAGCCACAGAAATGACTGGTGTTTTGATAATGCATTTGTTAGAACTAATTGGGTACACTTAAGAGCTGAGCCCTGGGCCCCTCCAACTTCAAGATGTTAAGGAGGGCCAGGTGCAGTGACTCACGCCTGTAATGGCAGCACTTTGGGAGGCTGAGGCACGCAGATCACTTGAGCTCAGGAGTTCTAGACCAGCCTGGCCAACATGATAAAACCCTGTCTCTACTAAAAATACAAAAATTAGCCTGGTGTGGTGGTGGGCGCCTGTAATCCCAGCTACTCTGGAGACTAAGGTGGGAGAATATGGCTTGAACCTGGGAGGCACAAGTTGCAGTGAGCTGAGATCACACCACTGCACTCCAGCCTGAACAACACAGGGAGAAGAGGAGGAGGTAGCAAAGGAGTCTTTTTTTTTTCCCTTTTCCTTTTCCTTTTTCTTTTTTTTTTTTTTTTTTTTTGAGATAGAGTTTTGCTCTTCTTGCCCAGCCAGGAGTGCAATGGCTTGATCTCGGCTCACTGCAGCCTCTGCCTCCCAGATTCAAGCGATTCTCCTGCCTCAGCCTCCCGAGTAGCTGGGATTACAAGTGTTGCTGAGAAGTCAGTTAAGATGAGGACTAACATGACATTTTGGATTTAGGAAATGAAAGGAGTAGAATTGAGGAGAGTTAGACAACCATTTTGAGGAATTTTATAGTAAAGAAGAGCAAGATCAGGAGGTTGAGGCAGGAGAATCGCTTGAACCTGGGAAGCAGAGGTTGCAGTGAGCCGAGATCAAGCCACTTCACTCCAGCCTGGGCAACAGAGGGAGACTCGGTCTCAGAAAAGAAAAAAAAAATGGTAGCTGAGGAGTAGTGGAGGCGAGAGGTTTGTGTAATCGCCTGCTTCTGAATGAAAGAAAAGGAACAGCCTCCTGCCCTTTACTGTAGCCACCCCCATGTTCTTTTATTTCCTCTTGTATGCCAGGTGCCTGGTATAAAGTACACAGTCCTTGTCGTCAGGGAACTGCCATTTAAGTGGAATGTGGGCAGGTGAACTGACTGCCAGGGCACACATGTGAAAGCAGGTCTAGGGGAGGCTGAGCATCCTTGAATGAGAAAAAGTAACAGCATGCCAATGGAATGACCCATTAGAAAGCAAAAGAATCGCTGTTGTCACTTGATGTTTCCCCATAGCTCAGTTTTAGGCCACCTTTGCTGTCAGAACTTTGTAGGCATCCTTGCTCTGAGCTCCAGCTGGTGCAGCCCTCAGCCTCCCCTGGACGTGCTTTCACATGGGTGCCCTGGCAGTCAGTTTACTTGCACACATTCCACTTAAATGGCAGTTCTCTGACGATAAGGACTGTGTGTTTTATATTAAGCCTACCCAGGCACTTAGGAGCAAACGAAGGAATTTGGGGGTGGTTACAGTGACGGGCAGGATGCTCATTTCATGTCTAGAAATTGAATCTGCAGCCAATCACTGGTGTCTGTCCTGAGCAGAGGAGTGAAGAACAGGGCACTCTGTAGGCCCTGTCACTACCCTTAGAGTTTAGGAGATAATTTGTGACCTGATTCAAAAGTAACTAAAAACATTTAGTGTTGGTGCAACCAGAGTATGGAAAAGGACATGTGGGGCATGACTTGGTAGAGGAGGATGGGGCCCATGTGGATTCTGGAGAAAGAGGAGACCGTGACAAAAAGACAAGAATTTTTCAGTAGTAGATTTTTTTTTTCCTTTCTTTTTTTTTTTTTTTTCTTGAGGTGGAGTTTTGTTGGCCAGGCTGGAGTGCAATGGCATGATCTCGGCTCACTGCGACCTCCACCTCTTGGGTCCAAGCAATTCTTCTGCCTCAGCCTTCCGAGTAGTTGGGATTACAGGTGTATGCCACCATACCCAGCTAATTTTTGTATTACTAGTAGACATGGGGTCTCACCATGTCAGCCAGGCTGGTCTCAAACTCCTGACCTCAGGTTATCCACCCACCTCAGCCTCCCAAAGTGCTGGAATTACAGACATGAGCCACCACACCTGGCTTTTTTTTTCTTCTTTTTTTCAAATAAACTGTAAGCCCAGTATTCTCCAGTGCTGCTTCAGTTGAAGAGCTTGATGTCTGATTAACTTTCTTCTCTGGCACCCCACTTCCAACTCAGGGCTCCCCTGGCCAGTTTCAAAGTTCTGAGGCAGAATCTGGGTCCTCAGGTTCGTCCCTTGTGACCCTGAATGTCCATTGCCAACATCTACAAATGGTTGTCATCTCCAGTAAGAATTAGGTTAATGTGTTTTCTCAATTTTATGTTTTTAATGAATTTTCTTCTAAGCTTCTGACATTTGCCAACATTTTCCTGCTATAAAGTTAAGCTGATCACAGTGAGAAGTAGTGAGCAGTTAATAAACACAAGAGAATACTTGGCTTGACATTTTGGTATGTTTGTTGAATTTACAAGTGCATCTGATTTTAAATATTTTCTGCTAGGAAAGGTTTCCTAATGCAGGTAAATCTAACTCTACATGTGACATGGGCAGAGAGCCACATCATATCCAGGCATTCCTCAAAGTAAACAGTGGTGTGGTATAAAGCTAGTTTTCTCCAAGGGCAGGAAAAGAGTGTAAAAAAGATATTTTAAAAATAAAAATAGGCCGGGCGCGGTGGCTCAAGCCTGTAATCCCAGCACTTTGGGAGGCTGAGGCGGGTGGATCACAAGGTCAGGAGATCGAGACCATCCTGGTCAATATGGTGAAACCCCATCTCTACTGAAAATACAAAAAATTAGCTGGGCATGGTGGCACATGCCTGTAATCCGAGCTACTCAGGAGGCTGAGGCAGGAGAATTGCCTGAACCCAGGAGGCGGAGGTTGCGGTGAGCCGAGATCGCGCCATTGCACTCCAGCCTGGGCAACAAGAGCGAAACTCCGTCTCAAAAAAATAAAAAATAAAAATAAAAATAAAACTAGGACTTATGGATGGAGAATGTGGACAGCCAGAGTCTGACACAGACACAGGACTTCCCACCCCTCACAGTGGGTGCTTCCCTCCCCCAGGTGTCTTCCCTTAGGATTTCTTCTAAGTTGGGGCAACAGTTCCCCCCCCCCCCCTTCTGACCCTGAAAATTGTCTCCTCCTCTCTGGTATTGCACTAGATGGTGACTTTTTTGTTTGTGGTTTTTTTTTGGTAGTGAGTTTTTATTCAAGAAAATAGGTGTATGGATGTGGAAGAAAGAGCACTTAACTTGGAGTCAGAAGACTGATAGACAGTTCAGCTTGGTAGTAATGAGTCTAGGCTTTGGATGCCTGAATTTGAATCCACTTAGTATCTGTGTGACTTTGTAACTGAGATGGGCTTGTTGCAAGGAATACATGAGTTAACATGTATAGAGCAATGCCTGGCCCACAGTAAAAACAATGAGCCTTAAGAAGACTTCATCTTGGAATCCTAGCCCTGTCATTTACTAGCTGTGCCACTTAGCTTATTCTTAAATTGCTTCAACTCTCATTTGTACTCATCTGTAAAATGAGGGAACTGCACAAAGTCATCCCTCAGAGGCTGCTTTTTTTTTTTTTTCTTAATGGAGTTTTGGTCTTGTTGCCCAGACTGGAGTGCAGTGGCACGATCTCGGCTCACTGCAACATCCGTCTGCCTCCCGGGTTCAAGCGATTCTCCTGCCTCAGCCTCCCTAGTAGCTGGGATTACAAATACTACCACGCCCAGCTAATTTTTTGCATTTTTAGTAGAGATGGGGTTTCACCATGTTGGCCAGGCTGGTCTCGAACTCCTGGCCTCAGATGATCCATCCACCTCTTCCTCCCAAAGTGCTGGGATTACAGGTGTGAGCCACCACACCTAGCAAGGCTGCCCATTTCATCTCTGCAGATACATATGGCTCTGCAAGGGGAGTATTATCATTTGGGGTGGAACATGCAGCCAGGACCTGAGCTCCAAGGTCTACAGTAAACACATTTTACATGACAACTCAATGTGTGTGTAATTGTAGGAAAAGATTCATCAAATAATATTTACTTTTGCTATATGTAATACACTGTAATATTTTCTATATTCTTCAATTCTAGCTCTTAAAAAGTAAAAAAAAATTTTTGAGACAGAGTTTTGTTCTTTTTGTCCAGGGTGGAGTGCAGTGGCGTAATCTCAGCTCACTGCAAACTCCGCCTCCCAGATTCAAGCAATCTCCGGCCTTAGCTTCCTGAGTAGCTAGGATTACAGGTGCCCACCACCATACCCAGCTAATTTTTGTATTTTTAGCTGAGATAGGTTTCACACTTTGGCCAGGCTGGTCTTGAACTCCTGACCTCAGGTGATCTGCCTGTCTCAGCCTCCCAAAGTGCTGGGATTACAGGCGTGAGCCACCACACCCAACAAAAAAAAGTAAAACTTTTAATAATGACTCTGGAACTTAGGACCAACACAGGCTTCTTGAGGGTGATGTTATAGAGCTCTGGCCACCTATGGCTAACCTTTCTGTGTGTTTTGGGTGGTTGGGAAAATATGAGAGGCTGTGCTCATGAGTTAATTATTTTTCTTCAAATTTTGCATTGTGAAGGATCTATGCCAAAATCTTACAGTGGTTAACATAGAGTAGACTATGGCTGGTTTTAATTTTTCTTTTCTTTTCTTTTTGAGATGGAGTTTCTCCATTATCCACGCTTGGTGGCGTGCGTATGTAGTCCCAGCTACTCAGGAGGCTGAGGCAGGAGAATTGTTTGAACCTGGGAGATGGAGGTTGCAGTGAGCTGAGATTGCACCACTGCACTCCAGCCTGGGTGACAGAGTGAGACTCTGGCTCAAAAAAAGAAGGCTGGGTGCGGTGGTTCACGCCTGTAATCCCAGCACTTTGGGAGGCTGAGACAGGTGGATCAGAAGGTCAGGAGTTTGAGACCAGCCTGGCCAACATGGTGAAACCCCGTCTCTACTAAAAATACAAAAATAATTAGTCGGGCATGGTGGCACATGTCTGTAATCCCAGCTACTCAGGGCTGAGGCAAGAGAATCCCTAGAACCAGGGAGGTGGAGGTTATAGTGAGCTGAGATCGTGCCATTGCACTCCAGCCTGGGCAACAGGAGTAAAACTCTGTCTCAAAAAACAAACAAGCAAACCCCCCCCCCGCCTCCCCCCAAAACCGGGAAACCTTTCAGTGCCACAGAAAATAGACTATGGAATGCAATAAGAATATCTCTGCCTCGGCCAGGCACGGTGGCTCACGCCTGTAATCCCAGCACTTTGGGAGGCCAAGGTGGATGGATCACCTGAGGTCGGGAGTTTGAGACCGGCCTGACTAACATGAAAAAACCCCATCTCTACTAAAAATACAAAATTAGCCAGGCTTGGTGGTGCATGCCTGCAATCCCAGCTACTCAGGAGTCTGAGGCAGGAGAATTGCTTGAATCCAGGAGGCAGAGGTTGTGGTGAGCTGAGATCACGCCATTGCACTGTAGCCTTGGCAACAAGAACAAAACTCCATCTCAAAACAAAAAAACAAATCATTGAGAACTACTTTTTTTTTTTTTTTTTTTTTTTTTTGGAGCAGTCAGTACCCAGAGCTAATTTGGGGGAGGGGAGAGAGTAGAACCAGTGCTTTCACACATAACTAGTATCACATTAGACCTTCCTGGCAATCCTATGCACTAAGCACATTACTTGCAGCTAGAAGAGTCACTGTGCTGTGGTATATGGCCCTCAGCACATGCAGGTTGATATGACTTTTTGTAGGGGTGCATAAGTATAGGACTAGACGTAAAGTGTTCATAGTGCATATGGTTTATGTTGTAAGAATGTCATGACATTGAACTTGTGAGATAAAACTGATTTATTATTTGTTTCAGGTTGTAAGCGCCATGGCTATGACTAGTGTCAAATTGCTTGCTGGTGTTTTAAGAAAGCCAGATGCCTGGATTGGACTCTGGAGTATTCTCCGAGGGACACCTTCGTCACACAAACTCTGCACTTCCTGGAATCGATACTTGTATTTTTCTAGTACCAAGTTACGTGCACCAAATTATAAAACTCTTTTCTCGCTGAGACTCCCAGGGCTTTTAATATCTCCAGAATATATTTTTCCATTTTCCATAAGACTCAAAAGTAATATAAGCTCTAAAAAATCTAAAAAGTCTCTGCAAAAAGTAGATGATGAAGAAGACTCTGATGCAGAAAGTGATCATGACGAGATGAGTGAGCAGGAAGAGGAGTTTGAGGATGACCCTACTGTAGTCAAAGACTATAAAGACTTGGAAAAAACAGTGCAGTCTTTCCGGTATGATGTTGTCCTGAAGACAGGTCTAGATATTGGGAGAAAGTGAGTATGATACACATTTTATTATAAACTCACTCATCTTGTTATTTTAATGCAGCATTACAAATCACTTGGCCCATATCATGGTGAAGAATAACCACAACAAAAGGACCTTTATAGGTAACCTGTTTCAATTATTTCATTTTATAGATGAGAAAACTAATTTCTAAAGAAGTCACAAGTGACTGCCTGCAAATCCCATGTGCCATATTTCCTTGAATGTAAGACAGTTGACTGTAAGATGAACCACTGATTTAATAACAGCTTCTTGAGGAGAAAATGAATCACCATATTAGATGTATGTAGCAGGCATAAAATGCATCTGGATATTTCACAGATGCTATAATGTGAGAAGGTACTTCTTAGAATTAACAGGATGATGTGTAATAAGATGATGGTTAAGAATGCAGGCTTTGGAGCCAGATTATTGGAGTTTTAGTCCTGGTTCTGTGTGACCTCGGGCAAGTTACTTAAAGTTCCTGTGACTCAGTTTCCTCACCTGTAAAATGAGGATAGAACCTACTTTAGAGAGCGGTTGCTAGGACTGAGTGAGTATATATCTATCTCAGGCACTTATAGTATCTGGCACATAGTAGGTAGTATGTGTTGGCTGTTTTAAAAAAAATACTATATATGTACACATATAATAGAGGTGTTGAGTATAACTTTTAAGATTTCTTTAATATTCTGATTCCCTCTCTGCTAGGTTAATTATATAAGAATAGTGGAAGAATAGTGGCCTTCATTATTTTATTCTTTTTGTTTGTTTGTTTTTGTTTTTGGAGACAGAGTCTTACTCTGTAGCCCAGGCTGGAGTGCAGTGGCGCGATCTCAGTTCACTGCAACCTCTGCTTCCTGGGTCCTGGTTCAAGCAGTTCTGCCTCAGCCTCCCGAGTAGCTGGGATTACAGGCACGTGCCACCATGCCCAGGTAATTTTTGTTTTTGTTTTTGTTTTTAAGTAGCAATGGGTTTCACCATGTTGGCCAGGCTGGTCTTGAACTCCTGACCTCATGATCCACCTCGGCTTCCCAAAGTGCTGGGATTACAAGTGTGAGCCACTGTACCCAGCCTGTTCATTTATGCTTTTAGGAATGACTGCAGGCATATTGTATACAAGGCAAGAATTGTGATATTAGTAAACTCAAAAAAACTTCTTGTATTATTTGTATCTTTATGACCTAATTTAATGGCATAGTTTAATTTTTTTATCCTTGAAGCTTAAGAGATTCATAAAAATGAGTCAGTCCACAGATCCTGCTCTTGGCATTCTGACCAGGGTGCCATTAGAGAATGTTCTCTAAATTCTGGCCAGACTCATAAGGGTGCCTCTTCTCTCCCAGAGTAGTAGCTGCTGCTGTTATTATTAAGCTGAGCTCCACATATCAGTCACCTGGAATCAGATCATCAAAAAAAGGGTAGTAGGCCGGGCGCGGTGGCTCAAGCTTGTAATCCCAGCACTTTGGGAGGCCGAGGCGGGTGGATCACAAGGTCGAGAGATCGAGACCATCCTGGTCAACATGGTGAAACCCCGTCTCTACTAAAAAAATACCAAAAAATTAGCTGGGCAACGTGGCATGTGCCTGTAATCCCAGCTACTCAGGAGGCTGAGGCAGGAGAATTGCCTGAACCCAGGAGGCGGAGGTTGCGGTGAGCCGAGATCGCGCCATTGCACTCCAGCCTGGGTAACAAGAGCGAAACTCCGTCTCAAAAAAAAAAAAAAAAAAAAAAAGGGTAGTGATTTTTAGCTGCTTCCTCCCCTGGTCTGGTTGCCCCAGTGACTTAAGTTCAGAGACATCAGCAGCTGTCAGATTGGAATTTCCCCAGACAGTACAGACTGGCAGAGGGTTTCTTAATGGCTTTGCTATACACATGGTGCCTGGTTTTCCTTTTAGTGTACAGAGCAGGTACCTGAGGGGAAGGAAGTGCCCACTCACTTTAGCTGTCATAAATCATCAGAGCTATAGCCTGGCCATGTAGTCTCTGCACTGGGAGTCAGGTGGAGTACCCCAGGCCCCTGTACAGAATGGAGCTTGACATGTATGCTAAAACCTCTCTTAAGGCTCCATCCAGTTAACTTCCCAAGAGCATTAGGAAATCTTTGCAGCAGTTCAACATCTGTTTAGAAATGCCCTTTCATCTCCCTGTATTAGGTACACACCAGAACAGGTGACTTTCACTTTCCCAGTACTCAAAATGGAGACTGTGGGGAGTCACTGTCCAAATAAACATTAATGGCAAGTGTTTCTCTCAAACTTGTATATAGTTGATGCTTGAACAATGTGGGGGTTAGGGGTGCCAACCTCCATGGGGTTGAAAAGCTACTAATAACTTTTGACACCCCGAAAACTTAACTACTAATATTTTGACATTCGGAAAACTTGACTACTAATACAGTCTACTGTTGACTCTGTTGACTGAAGGCCTTACTGATACGCAGTTACAATACAGTAAGCTAGAGAAAAGAAAATATTATTAAGAAAATCATAAGGAGGTAAAAATATATTTAGAGACAGAGTCTCTGTTGTCAGGCTGGAGTACAGTGGCCCAATCTTGGCTTGCTGCAGCCTCCGCCTCCTGGATTCAAGTGATTCTGCCTCAGCTTCCCAAGTAGCTGGGACTACAGGCGCACACTACTATGCCCAGCTAGTTTTTGTATTTTTAGTAGAGACGGGGTTTCACCATGTTGGCCAGGATGGTCTTAATCTCTTGACCTCGTGATTCTCCTGGCTTGGCCTCCCAAAATGCTGGGATTACAGATGTGAGCCACTTTGCCTGGCCTATTTACTATTTTTTTTTTTTTAAGCTGGAGTGTAGCAGCGTGATCTCAGCTCATTGCAACCTCCATCTCCCAGTTCAAGCGATTCTCCTGCCTCAGCCTCCTGAGGAGCTGGGACTACACGCAGTGCACCACCATGCCCAGCTAGTTTTGTTTTGTTTTGTTGTATTTTCTAGTAGAGAAAGGGTTTCTTTCATTATGTTGGCCAGGCTAGTCTTGAACTCCTGACCTCATGATCCACCCGTCTTGGCCTCTGAAAGTGCTGGGATTACAGGTGTGAGCCACTCACACCTGGCCCTATTTACTATTCATTAAGTGGAAGTGGATCATCATGAAGGTCTTCATCCTGGTCATCTTCACCTTGAGTAAGCTGAAGAGGAGGAGGAGGAAGAGGAATTGGAGTTGCTGTCTCAGGGGTGGCAGAGGCTGAAGGAAATCTGCATGTAAGTGGATCTGCAGAGTTTGGACCCATTTTGGCCAAGGGTCTACTGCAATTGTTTTGAGTATATGTCTATATTTTAAAGCACTTGACCTTTAAAAAGAAAGAGTTGAGGATACAAGTGCAGTTTTTGTTACATGGATATATTGTATAGTGATGAAGTCTGTGCTTTCCTGTACCCACCACCCAAAATGTGTACATTGTTGCTTTTTTTTTTGTAGCAAAGTGGAAGATGCATTCTACAAAGGTGAACTCAGACTGAATGAGGAAAAATTATGGAAGAAAAGCAGAACGGTGAGATACTAACCTAAAATAGCCAGATGTTTTTTGTCTCTTGCTCTGTTAGTACTCAATTAATGCTGCCTCAAAATTTCCCTCTGGCTCGGCTTCTTTCTCTGAGGTCCTCTGTGGTCTTCCAGTTCAAGCTGGTGGGAATCACATACAGCCTTCAGACACACAGGCACTTTCACTTTTGCAGCCTTAATGACCCTCTGATAAAGCTTCTCCCTTTTTGAATTTTAGAATAAGCCACTGTTAGAAATGGCAGAAATCCATTAATTAAACTTCCAGGTCATTAATGTTAGCCCTCATGGAATCCTCATAATAAAATTTCAAAGAAACGTTTGATCCACATAGAGGTGTTCTTTGGCTGATGGTACCTGAGCAGATGCGTAATTCTGTACAGCTCAGCAGTACCCACCGAGTGCTTGCTGGGTGCATGGCTTTGTGTGCAGAGCAGCTATAAAAAACGATGTGTTCTGTATTTTCTGACAAATCCATATCAATACTGTTGTTAAGTGAAAGTCAATTACAAGAAAATGTGTTTCCAGGCTCCCCCCGCACCCCCCCTTTTGTTTTGTTTTTTTTGTTTTTGAGACGGAGTTTCACTCTTGTTACCCAGGCTGGAGTGCAATGGCGTGATCTCAGCTCACCGCAACCTCCGCCTCCTGGGTTCAGGCAATTCTCCTGCCTCAGCCTCCTGAGTAGCTGGGATTACAGGCACGCGCCACCATGCCCAGCTAATTTTTTGTATTTTTAGTAGAGACGGGGTTTCACCATGTTGACCAGGATGGTCTCGATCTCTTGACCTCATGATCCACCCGCCTGGGCCTCCCAAAGTGCTGGGATTATAGGTGTGAGCCACCGTGCCCGGCCCCCCCTTCTTTTTTTTTTTTTTGAGACGGAGTCTCGCTCTGTTGCCCAAGTTGGAGTGCAGTGGCATGATCTCGACTCACTGCAGCCTCTGCCTCCAAGTTCCAGCGATTCTCCTGCTTCAGCCTCCTGGGTAGCTGGGATTACAGGCATGTACCGCCACGCCTGGCTAATTTTTATATTTTCAGTAGAGAAGGGGTTTCTCCATGTTGGCCAGGTTGGTCTCGAACTCCTGACCTCAGCTGATCCGCCCACCTCGGCCTCCCAAAGTGCTGGGACTGCAAACATGAGCCACCAAACCCAGCCCAGTCTCCACTTTTCTAACAGTAAATCATATATAAAAATTCTAGGGCACAGTGGCTCACACTTGTAATCCCAGCACTTTGGGAGCTGAGGCCAGCAGATTGCTTGGGCATAGGAGTTCGAGACCAGCCTGGGCAACATGACAAAACTCTGTCTCTATGAAAAAATACAAAAAATTAGCCAGGCATGGTGGCAGGTGTTTATCTCAGCTTCTCGGGAGGCTGAGATGGGAGGATTACCTGAGCCTGGGAGGTCAAGGCTGCAGTGAGCCATAATCGTGCCACTGCACTCCAGCTTGGGTGACAAGAGACCTGTCAAACAAAAATCCTGTTAGAAAATAATTTTTGTAAAAGTAAATTACATATATACAAACATCTGGAATTAAAATACTGCTATTACTAGTATTTAAGTGAAACATTATGGGTTATATTGATTTTCTTCATGCTTTTTATTTTTTGAATTTTTTACCATGAGTATAAAAATTGGAAAAATACTGATTAAAAAAAGTTAACTAAACACAATAAAAAGATATGACAGAGACCCTTAAAAACTATGAACGACAAAAGACGTGAGGTATTGGAAGGTATAATTTAACTCAGTGTTCTGGGAACAAAGGTTCCAGAGAAGTTAGACATACTTTGGAGATTGTTTTTATTTCATCTTCTTTTATATTTCAAAACACCCCTGGGGTTGGAAGATCTGAGCTATATCCGGTTGCCCTAGGACTTGAGACTTTGAGGCTGTCAGCTGTCAGCTGTGCATTTGGGTGAGCACTGAGGCTTCCTGCAGTCCTTGCTGACTGAGATCATGCAGGTTCTTGCAGCAATGTGGGCAGAAGGAGGGAAAACTCCCCCATGCTGTCTCAGCCCCCAAGTCACAGGCCCTGGTGATCCTCCTGACTTGAACTGGCATGCTTGCACTATGGCCGTCTGCTATTACTCCGTGAGCTGCATGCAGTCATAAGCGCTTCTCATCTCTGAATTACTTTTTCCTGACTGTAGCCTGCTCTCCTTCTAAGCTGCAGTATTCCAAAAACAAGATATGTTCTTGGAGTAAGGAATAATTACTCCCTGAACACCGTGTCTCTGTGCTGAGGCCTCATTTACGAGACTATTTTTCTCCCCGTTTTGTGATGTTGTTAACTACAGCTTAATTGCTGCTGCTTCATTCTGCCTTGAGTGTTCCGTTGTCCCAGCCGCCTTCCAGGTTTCTTGTGAGGGTCAGCAGAGGAAGGGGGCATTATTAACACTAAGCTGTCTTGTTACTAGGAGGCCTGGTAGCCATAGAAACTGCAGCTGACTGGAGATTTGAAATGTAGATATTTGGAACAGCCCTAATCTCTGCCAGTTCTGCTTTGTGTCTGGTGAGGGACACGGCCTTGGAGGGGAATAAAAAATGTCTTGCCTTCCTTGGTCTGCTCTGTGGAGCCAGTGCCAAGCTGTTGGCCCCAAAGGGTCAGGTTCTTGTCTGATGCTGTAGCTCTAACCCTGGCTGCCTGCAGTTCAGCAAAGCTTTTCTTTGAGCTGAAAACAAGGTGGAGCCCAGAGCTGAGTAACTGTTGATTAAGCAGTGGTTGTGTAGTACCCAAGTATGGGGACTGAATCCTTCCTAAACTTATCTCTTCTTGGGATCAGTTGGGTAAGGAGAAAGACGCCTTCTCTATGCTACAAGGAAGCCCCAAAGGGATTCATTCTTTTTTTTTTGAGACGGAGTTTCGCTCTTGTTGCCCAGGCTGGAGTGCAATGGCGCGATCTCGGCTCACCGCAACCTCCGCCTCCTGGGTTCAGGCAATTCTCCTGCCTCAGCCTCCTGAGTAGCTGGGATTACAGGCACGTGCCACCATGCTCAGCTAATTTTTTGTATTTTTAGTAGAGACGGGGTTTCACCATGATGACCAGGATGGTCTCGATCTCTCGACCTTGTGATCCACCCCCTTCGGCCTCCCAAAGTGCTGGGATTACAGGCTTGAGCCACCGCGCCCGGCCCGCAAAGGGATTCATTCTTTAGCCACACACTGGCCTCTCTTTTGAGAGGCTGACATCATGCACAATATCTCTATGGAAAGATACACATAGAGTATCCTTTCTGTATATCTTTTTTTCTTTCCTTTGGAGACAGAGTCTTGCTTGGTTGCCCAGGCTGGAGTACAGTGGTGTAACCACAGCTCATTGCAGCGTTGACCTTCCGGGTTCAAGTGATCTTTCCACCTCAGCCTCCTAAGTAGTTGGTACTACAGGCACACCACCACACCTGGCTAATTTTTTATTTTTGGTAGAGACAGGGTCTCACTGTGTGATCTAGGCTGGTCTTGAACTCCTGACCTTAAATTATCTGCCCACCTAGACTTCCCAAAGTGCTGAGATTACAGGCATGAGACATCACACCTGGCCTTATATACCTTTTCTTTGTATACCCTTTTGTATCTTCTAAATTTTATATCACTTGCATATATTACTTATTAAAAGAATTTTAGCCGGGCGCGGTGGCTCAAGCCTGTAATCCCAGCACTTTGGGAGGCCAAGGCGGGTGGATCACGAGGTCAAGAGATCGAGACCATCCTGGTCAACATGGTGAAACCCCGTCTCTACTAAAAATACTAAAAATTAGCTGGGCATGGTGGTGTGTGCCTGTAATCCCAGCTACTCAGGAGGCTGAGGCAGGAGAATTGCCTGAACCCAGGAGGCGGAGGTTGCGGTGAGCAGAGATCGCACCATTGCACTCCAGCCTGGGCAACAAGAGCGAAACTCCGTCTCAAAAAAAAAAAAAAAAAAGAATTTTAGGCCCAGCACAATGGCTCATCCCTGTAATCCCAGTACTTTGGGAGGCCAAAACCCCTTCTCTACTAAAAATACAGAAAATTACCTGGGCATGGTGGCAGGCACTTGTAATTCCAGCTATTCAGGAGGCTGAGGCAGGAGAATCACTTAAACCCGGAAGGTGGAGGTTGCAGTGAGCTGAGATCATACCACTGCACTCCAGCCTGGGCGACAGAGTGGAATTCTTTTAAAAAAAAAAAAAAAAAGAAAAAGAAAAAATAGAAAAAAAATAAAAAAGAAATAAAGAATTTTATCTGGGCAAGGTGGTGCATGCCTATAGTCCCAGCCACTTGGGAAGCTGAGGCAGGAGTGTCATTGAGCCCGGAGTTTAGACTGCAGTGCACTGTGATTGTGCCTATGAATAGCTACTGCATTCCACCCTGCACAACATGTGAGACCCATCTCTAAACATATTTAAAATAATAATTTGAATGAAATAAGGTTATGCCAAAAAAGGTAAAGCAGAGTTCCTAAGCCTTGTTTGTCTAGACAGATAAAAATCTAGACAGATTTTTTAAATGTCCACACAGCCTGAAGTAGTCTTGTTAAACATTGAACCCATTGTTACTGATTCACATTCCAAAAATAAATAAATAAAAATTGAATCCAGGGTCAGTTGTAGTGGCTCATACCTGTAATCCCAGCACTTTGGGAGATCAAGGTGGGCAGATAATGAGGTCAAGAGTTCAAGACCATCCTGGCCATCATGGTGAAACCTTGTCTCTACCAAAAACACAAAGATTAGCCGAGAGTGGTGGCGTGCGCCTATAGTCCCAGCTACTTGGAAGGCTGAGGCAGGACAATCGCTTGAACCCGGGAGGCAGAGGTTGCAATGAGCTGAGATTGTGCTACGGCACTCTACAGCCTGGTGACAGAGTGAGACTCCATCTCAAAAAAAATAAAAATAAAAATAAAAAAATAAACCCAGTGGAACTACAGAAAGGGGGAACGCCCCCTACCCCTGCCCAGATAATACCTATGTTCTATTCCTCAAGCCCAAGGAGAGAAAGTCTTGACCATAGCTGTGGTATGAGCCTTTCTGTTTCTCAGCCCATAGGAGAGGAAGTTAATGGTTTAAAATCTGCTCCTGGCCGGGCGCGGTGGCTCAAGCCTGTAATCCCAGCACTTTGGGAGGCCAAGGCGGGTGGATCACAAGGTCAAGAGATTGAGACCATCCCGGTCAACATGGTGAAACCCCGTCTCTACTAAAAATACAAAAAATTAGCTGGGTATGGTGGTGCGTGCCTGTAGTCCCAGCTACTCAGGAGGCTGAGGCAGGAGAATTGCCTGAACCCAGGAGACAGAGGTTGCGGTGAGCCGAGATCGCGCCATTGCACTCCAGCCTGGGTAACAAGAGCGAAACTCCGTCTAAAAAAAAGAGAGAGAGATGGACTTACCCTCCGCGGTAAGAGTTACCAAAAGCTCGGCGTCCATGAAGGTCCAGGGGGCCTCCAGGGCGTTCCGGCAGCATCAGTCTTCAGCCGCTGAGCTGAGGAGAGCAGGGAAAGAGCCTGAGGGCTATGGGGTTGGGCTCCTGGACCCTTAGAGACAGTGTGAGTCGGGCAGTCTGATTTCCAGTGGAGTCCCGCACAGATGGGACATGGTCTAGGAGGAATCTCTGGCTGTGGGCATTCCTTGGCCCAGTGGCCAGGTTTTTCGGCATTTGAAGCAAGGCTTTCAGGGAGGAGGTCCTGAAGAGAAGCCTGGACTCTATGGGTCTGGTGATCTGAAACTTCTGTGAGCTGACGGAGAGGCTGGGGTCTGCCTTACAGCTGAAGCAAGCATTTGTAATTCTGAAATACAATGCTGCTTGGCAGCTTCTTCCGTTATTAAACACCTTAAAGGTGAGGTTGATTAGTTCCAGTTGTGGGGGTTGAGGGCCAGATTCTAATTTCTGTAGCTTTTTAAATATCAGGGATTGATTGGGTGATAAAATGCATATTACGGATTCTTCACGGGTGAGAGTAGGAGGATGACGTTTAAGTCACTCCAGGTGAGATAATAGGACTGAGTTAAGTATTGGAACTCTTGTATATACTTAGTGGAATCTGATGAAAAGGAGCCTAACTGTTGGCCAATTTGGGAAAGGTCAGGTAAAGAAAGGAATGTGCATCCTAACTATGCCTTCGGCTCCAGCCACCTCTCGAAGGGGGAATTGTTGGGCAGGGGTGGAGGAGGTAGCTGCAGAACTAAAGTGTAAGCTGGACCAGGTATGAGGTGGGGAGGTGACAGGAGGGGCATAAGGAAGTGGGTTGTGGGCAGAGGAAGAGGCGGGGGCCTGCGGGGGGCTGAGGGAGTGCAGTTAGGGCCTGGTTTGGACAGACAGGGAGGAGAACGGTCAGAAGAGTTGATGGACAAGGAGGATTCTGGGTCACCGCAGAGGCAGGAGGCGCGGATGGAAGGTAGAGAAGGAAATGTTGGGACGAGTTGCATTGACAGCAGAGGTTAGGGAGGGAATGGAGTGTAAAATACGCCTGGACATCATCGGGCACCTTAGGCCATTTGCCCATTCACTGAGAAAAATTGTCAATCTCACAGAATAGAAAAATCAAAAGTGCTGTTTTCTGGCCATTTGGAACCATTGTCTAATTTGTATTGAGGCCAGGCTGTGTTACAGAAAAAAATTACACGTTTAGGTTTCAGATCGGGTTACAGTTGAAGAGGTTTTAGGACACAGGCTAGCGAAGACAGAGGAAGAGAGGACAGAATATTGCCCATAGCAAAGGAGATACGTTTTAAGGAAAGGAGTAGAGGTGATGAGAAGGAGCGAGTAGCTACCAGGGTCTTTAGTAGACATCCCTGACTAAATCCTGGGCTGTAACATGGTTGAGTGGTCAAGGCAGGCATCCCCGCGATTGACCAGACACCAAGGGAAGACTGTCTTCCTGAGTCCATGACCAACATTCGAGTTTTTGAGCCCACGGATAAAGTGTGTGTCGTTTGCCTCTACTTAGAGAGACTTGTCTCCTTTTCTCTACCTAGAAGGAGAAAGATTGAAAGGAAAAGAGAGGGCCGGGCATGGTGGCTCACGCCTATAATCGCAGCACTTTGGAAGGCTGAGGCAGGTGGATCACTTGAGGTCAGGAGTTCGAGATCTGCCTGGCCAACATGGTGAAACCCCGTCTCTTAAGAAAAAAAAAAAAGAGAGGGAGAGACTGCTTACCCAATCTGAAGATGGCAAGAGGGTTGCTGGGCTGGTCTAATGTACTGAGGTCGAAGATGGGTCTCTTCACAGAGGGAGAGCAGGGACAGGGGGCTGGTCCCCCCAAAGGGGAGTACCACTGTCCTGGGTTTCAGCACCAAATATTAAGCACACTCTGAATGAAGAACCCCCTAAACAGACTTTGTGTAACAACATGGCTGTTCATTCACCCAGGGGCAGGCTGAGTCCAAAAAGAGAGTCAGCAGAGGGCAGTGCATATGAGTTGGTTTTACAGGTTTGGGGTAGGCAGTGGTAAGTTACAGAAGTTACAGTTCAGGGCAGTTTTTGCAAGCTGGGAGGGGGCCATTGAGTCTGGAGTCACAAGGTTGACCTATCAGTTGAGCAAGGTCAGTTACAAAGTCCAGTTGCCTTATCAGTTGAGGCAGAAGTAAGGAATAGAAGAATGTTTCAAAGTTTATTAGGCACTGCAGGGTTGGTCATTCTTCTCTTTTTGCGTTTTACCAGTTACTTCAGGCTTTCTAGTTCCAGGAACTCCTCTGGAGGTATATGTGCAGGTCACAGAGGTTACCATGCCATCCATGGCACAGTCGGCCTAAAAGACCTTCCATGTGGGCCAGGCGCAGTGGCACCCGACTGTAATCCCAGCACTTTGGGAGGCCAAGGCGGGAAGATCACCAGGTCAAGAGATCGAGACCATCCTGGCCAGCATGGTGAAACTCCATCTTTTCTAAAAATACAAAAATTAGCCGGGCATGATGGTACACACCTGTAGTCCCAGCTACTCGGGAGGCTGAGGCAGAAGAATTGCTTGAACGCAGAAGGCAGAGGTTGCAATGAGCCAAGATTGCTCCACTGCGCTTCAGCTTGGTGACAGAGTGAGACTCCATCTCAAAAAAAAGACCTTACATGCACAGGGACGAACCACAGCCAGCCAGTTGTTTCTGAAGGAAGGACACCGGTTGATACTGAGCCCCTTGTGTTTGAGGCACCCTCCCTTTTTTTTTTTTTTTTAATGGAGTTTCGCTCTTGTTATCCAGGCTGGAGTGCAATGGCGCGATCTTGGCTCACTGCAACCTCCGTCTCCTGTGTTCAAGCGATTCTCTTGCCTCAGCCTCCCGAGTAGCTGGCACTACAGGCACATGCCACCATGCCCAGCTAATTTTTGTATTTTTAGTAGAGACGGGGTTTCACCATGTTGACCAGGATGATCTCGATCTCTTGACCTCATGATCCACCTGCCTCGGCCTCCCAAAGTGCTGGGATTATAGGCATAAGCCACCGCGCCTGGCCTTTTTTTTTTTCTCTAGATGAAGTCTTCCTCTGTCACCTAGGCTAGAGTGCAGTGGGGTGATCTCTGCTCACTGCAATCTCCACCTCCTGGGTTCAAGCAATTCTCCTGTCCCAGCCTCCTGAGTAGTTGGGATTAGAGATGCCTACCACCACGCCCAGCTAATTTTTTATTTTTAGTAAAGATGGGGTTTCACCATGTTGGCCAGGCTGGTCTTAAAACTCCTGACCTCAAGTGATCTGTCTGCCTCAGCCTCCGAAAGTGCTGGGATTACAGGTGTGATGGGATTTACAGCCATGAGCCACTGTGCCTGGCTAAGGCTCCCTCCCTTTCATTCTGAGGCACTGGGGATAGGTGACAGTGACCGAAGTCAGAGCCTTTTCTCACCTGCCCCTCCTCTGCATCATGATCAGGTGGTGAAAACTCAAAGCGGTGATGTTTGCATTGGCCTGGATTTCCCAGAGTTAACCAAGCCTCCATTTTCTTCTAATTTTCAGGTCAAAGTGGGAGATACATTGGATCTTCTCATTGGAGAGGATAAAGAAGCAGGAACAGAGACAGTGATGCGGATTCTCCTGAAAAAAGTGTTTGAAGAGAAGACTGAAAGTGACAAATTCAGAGTGTTGTTACGGCGGTGGAAAAACTTAAAGTTGCCTAAGAAGAGAATGTCTAAATAAATGGATTGCTTTTCAGCAATAAAGCTGCTTTCTAGTGGTAGAGGAAAGGGTCAACTGAAAAAGAGACGCTTTTATTAAAATAAAGTTCTCTTAGCGTTTGTGGAATCTGCTGAGCCATTTTGTGGAAATTGGGATTCATATCTGGAGACACTGCCCAAGGCCTGCCCCTCCCCACCGCTGCCCACCTTGATTCATGCTCCTTTGACCTCATGTGAGAACCCTTTTGCCCAGAGTGAGACATGTGCAGAATGAACTAAGCCCCAGAAGGTTCTAATGGCTTGCCTGCTGTTTCCCACATAAGCTACCTCAGGAGTCACTGTAAAATAAACTGGCCTTGTTGTCTCTCAGTGTTTTTATTTAAAATGTTCCCTGTACAGCTGGGCCAGATTACCAGGTTCAGGCTTCTTCAGGCAAAACCAAGCAAAGTCAAGGTACCTTCAGATGGTTAGGGGAGACCCTCTGGAAGAGCCCTTTCTCCCCTGCCCTTCTGAATTACCACCAGGAGCTCTTAGTTCCCTTCAGTGTGTCTTCACAAGTCTGGATAAATAAAATTGTTACAACTAATTTCAAACCAGCTAGTTAGAGCCCATTTGAAATTGCTTGGGCCAGGGGTGCATAAACTAAGGTCGCCAAAGACCTGTTTTTGTATGGCCCTTGAGCTAAGAATGGTTTTTACATCACACACACCCAGAGACCTGTGGCCTACAAAACCTAAAATATTTACTTTAAAAAAATGGTTTGGCCGGGCGCAGTGGTTCACACCTCTAATCCCAGCATTTTGGGGGGCCAAGGCAGGCAGCTCACCTGAGGTCAGGAGTTTGAGACCAGCCTGGCCAACATGGGAAAACCCCGTCTCTACTAAAAATACAAAATTAGCCAGGTGTGGTGGCACATGCCTATAATCCAGCTGCTGGAGAGGCTGAAGCAGGAGAATCATTTGAACCCAGGAGACGGAGACGGAGGTGGAGGTTGTGGTGAGCTGAGATCACACCATTGCACTCCAGACTGGGCAACGAGTGAAACTCCATCTCAAAAAACACTTTTTGTCCGGGTGCAGTGGCTCATGCCTGTAATCCCAGCACTTCAGGAGGCCGAGGCAGGCAGATCACCTGAGGTCAGGAGTTCAAGACCAGGCTAGCTAACATGGTAAAACCCTGTCTCTACTAAACAGAAAAACTAGTTGGGCATGGTGATGGGTACCTGTAATCCCAGCTACTTGGGAGGCTTAGACAAGAGGGTCACGTGAACCTGGGAGGCAGAGGTTGCAGTGAGCCGAGGTCATGCCATTGCACTCCAGCCTGGACAAGAGTGAAACTCCATCTCAAACTTAGCTGAGAACAGTGGCTTACACCTGCAAACCCAGCATTTTAGGAGGCCAAGGCAGGTGGATCACTTAATCCTAGGAGTTTGAGACCAGCCTGAGGGCGACATAGTGAGACTTCATCTCCCTCTTAAAAACAAAAAAAACATTTTTGTAGAGGTGGATTCTGTGTTGCCCAGGCTGTTTCCAACTCCTGGGCTCAGGTGACTCACTTCAGCTTCCTGAAGTGCTGGGATTACAGGCATGAGCCATTGTGCTTGGCCAATGGCCTAAAATATTTACTATCTACAGAAAAAGTTTTTTGACCTCTGGTTTAGGGTAAAGGTTTAATTTTTAGGTGAAAGGAAACATACCTGTTTCATCAGTGAAGAGAATAAAACCAATTCTAATTCTTAAAGTGTCATAAAAGGGATGGAAGCTTAACAGTAGTATGGTGGTGTAGACACGTATAATGTACATCATCTAAGAAAGGACATACGGATATATAGGCCAGTCTGTAGATTCTCAGGAGCTGTTTTCTGGCACTTGAAGGGGTCATCTCCAATAAGAGATTTGTTAGATTATATCACATCAAAAAGACTGGCAGACCCAGGCGCGGCGGCTCACACCTGTAATCCCAACACTTTGGGAGGCTAAGGCAGGTTGATTACTTAAGGTGAGGAATTTGAGACCACCCTGGCCAACATAACAAAACCCCAGCCAGGCATGGTGGCGCACGCCTGTAGTGTCAGCTACTTGGGAGACTGAGGCAGGAGAATTGCCTGAACCCAGGAGGCAGAGTTTGCAGTGAGCAGAGATCACACCCCTGCACTCCAGCCTGGGTGAGGCGGGAAAGACTCTGTCTACAAACAAAACAAAACAGACCAAAAAACTCTGTATCTGGGCTCTTATTTGCCCCCTCCCCAGGAATTCCTGAGAATCCTGAATTAGCTGGCAGTGAAGAGAAACTTCTGTAGCCCAAAGCAGTGGGATATTTGGGCCCATGTGTCTGGAACTGTTTAACCAGCTTGTTTTTCATAAGACTCAGAATTTTTTTTTTTTTTTTTTTTTTTTTTTTTGAGACGGAATCTCTGTCACCCAAGCTGGAGTGCAATGGCACAGTCTCGGCTCACTGCAACCTCTGCCTCCCAGGTTCAAGCAATTCTCTTGCCTCAGCCTCCTAAGTAGCTGGGTTTACAGGTGCCCACCACCACGCCCTCCTAATTTTTGTATTTTTAGTAAAGACAGTGTTTCACCATGTTGGCCAGGCTGGTCTCAAACTCCTGACCTCATGAACTGCTCGCCTTGGCCTCCCAAAATGTGGGGATTACAAGTGTGAGCCACTGTGCCCAGCCAATTGATATTTATTTGAAAAGTTAAAGTCTCAGGGAGAAATAATATATACTATGCAGTGTAACAGGGGTTTTCTATTTTACCATTTGTGAATTTGGCTTTACTGAGTCATCAGTAAAAATGGTAGCTTAATTTCCACGAGTTAGTTACAAATTTTTTTTTTTTTTTTTTTTTTTTGAGACGGAGTTTCACTCTTGTCACCCAGGCTGGAGTGCAATGGCGCGATCTCGGCTCACCGCAACCTCCGCCTCCTGGGTTCAGGCAATTCTCCTGCCTCAGCTTCCTGAGTAGCTGGAATTACAGGCACGCGCCACCATGCCCAGCTAATTTTTTGTATTTTTAGTAGAGACAAGGTTTCACCATGTTGACCAGGATGGTCTCGATCTCTTGACCTCGTGATCCACCCGCCTCAGCCTCCCAAAGTGCTAGGATTACAGGCGTGAGCCACCACGCCCGGCTTTTTTTTTTTTTTTTTTTTAATACAGAATTTTCCTCTGTCACCCAGGCTGGAGTGCAATGGCGGCATCTCGGCTCACTGCAACCTCCACCACCCGGGATCAGATTCTCCTGCCTCAGCCTCCTGAGTAGCTCCAATTACAGGACCCTGCCACCACACCCAGCTAATATTTTGTGTTTTTAATGGAGACAGTTTCACCATGTTGGCCAGGCTGCTCTTGAACTCCTGACCTCAGGTGATCCACCCACCTAGGCCTTCCAAAGTGCTGGGATTACAGGCATGCACCACCACATCTGGCGAATTTTGTATTTTTTAGTAGAGACAGTGTTTCTCCACGTTGGTCAGGCTGGTCTCGAACTTCCAACCTCAGGTGATATGCCTGCCTCAGCCTCCCAAATGCTGGGATTACAGGCGTGAGCCACCACACCCAGCCCAGAATTCTTTTTTAATTTAAGATATAGTTCTTGCTTTCCCAGGAAAGTCTGCAAATGTTGCTACTGTCTGCAATTTTTAAAGGATGAACAATTTAAAGTTACGACTTTTGGAAGAGGACTATCCAGCCAGCTGTTTTACCAGTAACGGTAATCCTTTCAAAAGAAACAGATCTGCTCTAGGAAACATGGTGCTGATTGCATTTCCCTGCCAAATAGCATTTACTATAACTTGTTAGCTCAAAAGTAGGGAAAATTTAAAAAATAAAATTAACAAAGAACTTTTTTTTTGAGACCGAGTCTTGCTCTATTGCCCAGGCTGGAGTGCAGTGGCGCAATCTCCACCTCCCAGGTTCAGTTCAAGTGATTCTCCTGCTTCAGCCTCCTAAGCAGCTGGGACTGTAGGTACAAACCATCACACCCAGCTAATTTTTGTATTTTCAGTAGAGATGGGGTTTCATCATACTGGCCAGGCTGATCTTAAACTCCTGACCTCATGATCCATCCACCTCTGCCTTCCAAAGTGCTGGGATTACAGGCATGAGCCACCGCACCCACCTAAAAAAAATAATTTTTAAAAATAGCACTTACGGCCAGGCGCGGTGGCTCAAGCCTGTAATCCCAGCACTTTGGGAGGTCGAGGCGGGTGGATCACGAGGTCGAGAGATCGAGACCATCCTGGTCAACATGGTGAAACCCCGTCTCTACTAAAGGTGCAAAAAATTAGCTAGGCATGGTGGTGTGTGCCTGTAATCCCAGCTACTTAGGAGGCTGAGGCAGGAGAATTGCCTGAACCCAGGAGGCGGAGGTTGCGGTGAGCTGAGATCGCGCCATTGCACTCCAGCCAGCCTGGGTAACAAGAGCGAAACTCCGTCTCAAAAAAAAAAAAAAAAAAAAAAAGCACTTATTACTTTTCCTGGAAGATAATTTTAATCTCATGTTTTATCTGGGCAATCATGGTTGGGGATGAGACAGGAAGGAACATCACTGGCTTTCAAGAAACTGGAAGAGCCGGGCGCGGTGGCTCAAGCCTGTAATCCCAGCACTTTGGGAGGCTGAGGCGGGTGGATCACGAGGTCAAGAGATCGTAGACCATCCTGGTCAACATGGTGAAACCCCGTCTCTACTAAAAATACAAAAATTTAGCTGGGCATGGTGGCGCGTGCCTGTAATCCCAGCTACTCAGGAAGCTGAGGCAGGAGAATTGCCTGAACCCAGGAGGCGGAGGTTGCGGTGAGCCGAGACCGCGCCATTGCACTCCAGCCTGGGCAACAAGAGCGAAACTCCGTCTCAAAAAAAAAAAAAAAGAAAAGAAAAAAAAAGAAACTGGAAGAAAACATTTCAGTTTGCGGTGATGGCGTATGCACCTGTAAAATGTATTTTGCTCTTCTATCTATATATTTTAAATTTTACAAATGGATTATATTTCCTCTTCCATGTTCAGGATGGTTTTTAACATCCATTCAAGGCATTATAGGAACATGGAATCCACTGCTTCTCACTGCTGCCTGATAAAGACCAAAGTGCATCCACCATATTTTGCCTACCCATGCTCCCAGTGACA